TAATATATATATTTATATTATGTTTTCCGGTTTTTTTTAACAATGCTAAACTGATACCTATATTTAGTTTTTTTTTTCTTAAAAGGACATAGGATTTAGCAGAGATGCTTAAAATGTTAGCTAAGCAAACCACATGGAGGCAATTACAACTTGTATCTTTTGTATTACAGTTACCTTACCAGATTGCAAGCTAAAAGAATATACGAGGTGGGATAAGCTGATGACAATGCTGGAAAACTCTCACATGAGACAGAATATGCTGCTTCAGGAATTTGAAGAAGTTAAGGTGGCACTACAGACTGTGAAAGAAGACCTTTGGCAGATGAACACAACAGGATCATGTAGTGACTGCCTTAAGAGCATTACAACAGATTTTTCAAGCCTGCTGGACTCCAAGTGTCATCCTGATAACACTGTGAATAAAAATGCGGAAAAATCAATTGCTCTAAATCTGGACATAGCAGACAGACTTGAAGGCATTGAAAATCTCTTGAAGAAAAGAGAAGACGCAGAACAGGATAAACCAGAATGCCCAGACATACTAAAAAATTCAGCTTTGGTAGACAAATTAGATCTACTCTATGGAGATTTCCAGAATATGCAGGACTGGATCCACCAACGCAGATTACCTTCAGGTAAATTACCTGTACGGAGCAGTAGTCATTGGGGGAATTTATTAAAACTGGTGAGGACAGAATATGGAGCATTAGCTCATAGGGACCAATCAGCTTCTGTTTTCAGTTTGTTCAGTTTAGCTTTGGAAATGACAGATAGAAGCTGATTGGTTGCCATGGGCAACTGCTTCAGATTCTGTCTGCACCAGTTTTAATAAACCCCTCTCATTGTTTGAAACAACAATAGCATTATTCTTAGAATGTACATGCATTTATGTTTTCTTTGTTGAACAGAATCTTGATCCTTACCTAGGTAAGCATGCAAAAGAATGCATATGTAATTTTTTTTACAAATAGCTGATATAACAAAGGGGAATAGGAGGCATAGTCTTTGTCATGAACTGCTTTAGGTCCAAAGACAATGCCGAAAAGTAGGAAATTATATATGATAGTTTACAGATGTGCTGAGCTGTCCTATACTGTAAATTATTTTAACCCTTTTGCCTTTCAATAATGAGTTCAACAGCTATAATTAGATTGCATACATTGTGTTATGTGATATGTAGAGCCCTATTACAAAAATGTGCGCCAAAGAAAGGGGAGGTGCCAGAGCTCAGCCATGAGAATTGAGCCAGCAGTGCTGCTTCTACAGGCAGTTTAAAAGTGCTGAGCAATCCTTTTACAGCTTCACTGTTATTTGGATACTAAAATCTAAAGTGTAATAGAAAACCTCTGCTAGGAGTTGAAATTTTCATTCAACGAAAATGTGAAATTGCTGTGTGATATATCTGCATTTAGAGAGAACATATGGATATGTAATCGGACTGTCCCAGCAAAGGAATCCCATTGTGATGAAAGCCCAACTGTGGGCAAAATATGATCCCCTTCCCACCCCCTCCACTGTAACCCACTGCATTTTTTTTCTTACCTTGTGAAGCAAGGTATACTGAGCAAAGCTGTCTATCGGGTCCCTTGCCGGTGCCATTTCTGGGTGTGAGGATTGCTAATCCAACCCTTATAGATGTGCCCACACCAGTTGGTCCCCGAAAGTCCACTCATGCTGACATTACTCCCTTCTGGATCCTGAGAGGACACTGCACTGGACACCCAATAGTGTCCACATCATACAGTCATCATACAGTCAGTGATATGGACACCTGAAGAAGAGAGAAAACTCAGGACTGGATTTACTTTAGGTAAGTAACAAGGGAGTTTAGATGGATAGGTTTTTTAGTGCCAATAATAACCTAAAGGGGGGGGGGAGGGATTAAAAAGGGTGCATTGTTAGCCCATAATTGGGCTTTAAGCACAGTTAGATGACTACAGAATGAGCATAGTCTGTTTGTAGCCACAGCCATAGTGACAACCACAAAAAACTCAAAGACATGATTTCTGAATTTTCATATGGCAACAGCTTTACTATTGATAACATTCTAAAACTAACTGAAATCCCGCCTGATAGGTTGTCACTATGCACTCAAGAGCAGTTCCTGCCCATCTTTGAACATAAATGTAATTAGCAAAGGCAAGTCTATATATGATGATCAAAGCCAACACAAATTTTGTTATGTATGGTACACATCGCAAACTGGCTTAATGCCAGAGAACATATAGTTCTTTTTGTGCGAGGAAATTCTAG